TGAATTTCCACAATTACTTTCTATATATACTAGGTAAATGCACATATCAAGCATTTAATGAGCACTTACTATACACCAGGACTGGCACTAAGTTTTTTATGTATATTACTACTTCTACATCAGTTCTATATCAACTTACTATGATTACCCCTGTTGCAAAGCTGAGGAAAACAAAGTACAAAGAAGTTAAATATGATGAGGGCACTCTTTCTCTCCCTCCCCAATTCCAGACTATAAAAGGGAGTTTCCAAAATGACTAAGAAGGCCAATGCCACTGGCCAGGGTACTGAGGCCCCATTAGCTTTCAGATCAGCCCTGTTATCTACAGCTCCCCCCTAGCCACTTGGCACTGCAGACTTTCCCTTCTGGATCTTCCCTCCATGATATCAAGCCTCAACCTTCATTCAACAGATACTTATTGAAGGCCCACTACATTCCAGGCACTGTTTCAGATTCCCAGAAGCTAATCTCATTGAGAGGCAGACATGGTAAATAGGTATAAAAATACATAGAGACTTATGACTAACCGATAATCTCCTTTGCTTAAGAAAATTATTCAAAACTTAATAAAGGCCATTGATTATGTCTGCAATTGACTGGGGCCCAGATATTGTATAATTTCATAAAATGGTTTAGGTATAATAAATCATCTTCTGTCCAAGAGAGACAATAACCCTAAAGGTTAGTATTTCATTAACCAGTTTTAATCTAATTCAACAATCTTATCTTATCATTTATTTCTTCCCCTGTTGAACTGACTATAAAACCCCACTTTCTCATATTCCTTCTTTTGAACTAACTTTCTCATAAATGAGTTAAATAAAATGATGCTATGTGCATAATATCTAACCACATAATAATTATGTTTTAACATTTTTAGGATTAGACTTTGACAATTATATTTGGGAAATTAAAATGGTAGATGTGATCATGAATGAATGGGTGGTCTAGGAAAGCCTCTCAGAGGAGGTGGTTATGTGAGTTAAAGATCAGAAAGGAGTTTGGTATGCTTAAATGGGGAGGGGGTGTCATTCCAGGCAGAGGAAACAGCTTGAGCAAAGAATCTAAAGAAGAAAGGGAGTTAACTTATTGGGTGCTGTGCTAGTATATGTGTAACAATTGGCTGGATGTGGTCAGGGGAGTTGGGTAGGAGAGGAAGGGAAACACTCCTGATTTGTAATATTTGCCAATTCCCACAATTTTGAGCTACTAACACAAGGTCACTGAACACAGAGTTGGAAAACAATGCACACAATGAGACACGTAGACTGGCTCCAGCACATCCCTGGGCTATTCCAGAAAAAGAAGTAAAGCCAGAAAAGCAGGGAAGATGCAGAAGAGAATTTCAGGAGATAAAGTCAAAAAGGTAGGCATGGGGCATAACTTGGAAGGAGATCTGAGGAGTTTAGATTATATTCCAGTTATGTTTGGAAGCCATTTGAGGGATTTTTAAACCCAGGAGCAATAGTTCATCTTCCTTTCTACTTTCTTGATACTTGTCTTTAAAAGAAAGGGGAAGAGAATAAGGAGGACATAAATTCCTCTCCTACTTTTGTGCATTAGCAATAAATATGCCCTAGCACTTCACCTCCTACTTTGTAAGTCTTGCCAACAAATACCATGCTATATAATTTGCTTCATTTTCTCTCAGTAGCAAGCTCATATTTTTTTTATGTATACAATTTTTATTATTTTTTTAATTTCTTTTCAGCGTAACAGTATTCATTGTTTTTGCACCACACCCAGTGCTCCATGCAATACGTGCTTCCTTAATACCCACCACCTGGCTCCCCCAACCTCCCACACCCCGCCCCTTCAAAACCCTCAGGTTGTTTTTCAGAGTCCATAGTCACTCATGGCTCACCTCCCCTTCCAATTTCCCTCAGCAAGCTCATATTTTTTGAAAGAAGGTAAGTAAATCCATTCTTTCAAGACTACACAGAAAAAGAACTGTTAAGTAAATTGTTTAAAAATGTGTTGTACTATTTCAAACTGTTAAAAATGGTTGCAGAAGTTGTTTATGCCTTTTAAAGAGCAATTATATCAGCAACAGCTGATTGACTGCTTGGTCATTGGTGCTACTAGAAGAGAAAGACAGCTGCCTTCGTGTGCTAGTTGACCTGCTGCCAGAAATGGTGACCTAGCTGATAGACACAGCACAGTGGCTTACACTGGGAAATGGAGACCTGTTGTGAAAGCGGAAGGGAAGGCCATTTGCCTCAGTAGTTCAACCCATTTGATCTGGTGGGTATTGACTCAGAGACTGGGCGGCCCTCAGAGTAACCAAATCTTCCTTGAGTTTCATTCTAAATTGGGATCTACAGCTGCAGCCATAGAGAATTTCCTTTTCCATGCTGTCTTGCACTTCCTTTCCTGGACTATGTGTGTCTGGTAAATAGGTGTCCATTAAATACCCATTTGTTAGCAAGAAAATTTTACTAGATGGTCCCTATGTGCTCTGCACTTGACTAATTGCCAGGAGCTTGGAGATGAACAAGATAGAATACCATTGAATCCTCGTGCACAGTCTATGGGAATGTAAATTGGTGCAACCATTAGAGGAAACAATATGGAGGTTTTACAAAAAGTTAAAAATAGAAATACCATGTGATCCAACAATTCCACTATGAATTTCCTAAATGAAAACACTAATTTGAAAAGATATAAACACCCTATAATATTGCAGCATTATTTACCATAGCCAAGATACGGAAGTAACCCAAGTGTCCACTGATAGATGAATGGATAATGATACACACACACACACCCCGGCACACACACAATGGAATATTACTCATCCATAAAAAAGAATAAGACCTTGCCATTTGTGGCAACATGGATGGACTAGAGGGTATTGTGATAAGTGAAATAAGTCAGGCAGTCAAAGACCAATACCCTATAAGTTCACTTATAATGTGGAATCTAAAAAAAAAATAAAACAAATGAACAAAAAAGAAAAAACAAAAAACAGACTCTTAAATATAGAGAAAAACTGGTGGTTGCCAAAGGGAAGGTCAGTTGGGGGTAAGCAAATAAATAAAAGGGATTAAGAGGTACAAACTTCTAGTTATAAAATAAATAAGTTATGGAGGTGAAAAGTGCAGGATAGAGAACATAGTTAATAATATTGTAATAACACTGTATGCTTACAGATAGTGACTGCACTTAATTATGATGGCCATTAAGTAATGTATAGAATTGTTGAATAAACATATTGTACACCTGAAACTAATATAACTCTGTATATTAATTATAATTCAACAACAACAAAAAGATACCACACAGTTATCAAATGAACAGAAAGAAAGTGAGCCCAAGAGCAGGAGAAATAGACACAGTGAGACAGAGGGGAAGAATTATACCCAAGAGTTCTTCAAAAGATTGGTGTGGTTAATAGTGTTGGGGAGGAAAAAAAAAAAGTCCTTCAAGGTTCTTTTGGCTGGTCTAAGAATTAAATTGACATGAGACAGATTAAAAGAAAAAATCAAATTTAATTACATGTATCAAGGGGTTCCATAAAAATATGAGGCACAAGTCGACAATTGAGGCTTCTATGCTATCTAGAGCTAAGGAGAAGAGTGGAAGTGTCTGGCACTTCAAAGGTAAGGGAGGCAATTCACAGAAATATGAAAAGGAGTAAATGTTTGCTAAGCCACTCATAAACAATGAGACATAGAGAGGTATTTTAACAGACTTTGCTAAATTCCGTTCTGTCTACCACCTAGTTTATACTATACTGTAGTTATATAGAAGAAGGTCCTCTACCTAAATCCTTTTCGGTAGTTGGAAGAAGGTCAAAGTTCTTCTTTAGTCTTGTTTCTTCACATAATTAGCCTAAAATAATCCACATACCACAGAGATACATTTTGGGGTGGTAAATTTTGCTCCCCGACCATAAAATCACAAAAAGACAAGTATAATCAGAGAAAGAAAGCCAAAGATAGGTAAAGAGTGAGTACTAAAGATAGAAAGCATGAGTACTAAAATATAAGTTAATTAAAATGTTACGGTAATGGTAAGGGAATAATAATGGCTGTTCTGAAAATTTTTCAGGATAACATCATCTTAGCTATGTTTAATGGTGTAGAAACTCAACAGCCTAAATCATGTATAGAAGCAATCTCAGAATGACTTTCTGATGAGCTTCTTAGCCTTGCTTGCTTAGTTTAGGCAGCATCTGAATAGCCATCAAGTTGTATAAAATTTGAGGACCCAAAATGTCATTATGACCCCATGAGATACAAAATAAGACTATATAGAGTTAGGGACTAAATGGAATTCTAGTCCAAGTCTGTTTCACACTGGGTCCACATGGTGGCCATTGTTCCAGCTCCTGAATTTGTTATTGGAATGGCTGTGGGACCAGTGGCTTTGGAATCTTCAAGTTGGCCCCTTGACTTATGGAATAAAAATTATTATAATAGGAAAGACCAAGTAGAATCCCCCAAAACTGTCTACAATCCTTCCACTCTTAACCCAGAAGAATAAATCAAAAACAACATATCAGACCCTGAAGAAGAGGTTGATTAGTGCCACACAAGGACTTGCAGAATGCAGGGGTGGTGGTCTCCATTTAACTCATAAGTCTGGCTCCTTTAAAACAAGATGGTTCATAGTAGATGACAGCAAACTACTACAAATTTAACCAAATAGTAGCAGTAGTCACACTTTTTTGGATATAGTATCTTTACTAGAACATGTTAACATATAATACATGTAATGCAGCCATTACTTGGCAAACCCATTATTTCAATACCCATCATGAAGAAAGCTCAGAAGCAATTAGCACTCTTACAGGATAGACCAGTATACATTCACAGCCTACCCCAGCTAGAACTATGCTAATCCTGCTTTCTATTACAGTATAGTCTGAAAGGATATTCCAAAGATTATTACATTGGCCCACTATATAGATGACATCACGTTAATGGGACCTAATGAGCAAGAGGGGCAAATATTCTAGACATCTCATTAAGATATGTGATCTAAAGTGGAGATGCATGCTCACTTCAGCAGCACATATAATAAAATTGGAACAATACAGAGAAGATTAGCATGGCCCCTGTGCAACAATGACACATAAAGTGGAGATGCAACGTGGGGGGCTTTGGGGGTAGGAAAAGAATAAATGAAACAAGATGGGATCAGGAGGGAGACAAACCATAAGAGACTCTTAATGTCACAAAACAAACTGAGGGTTGCTGGGGGGCGGGGGGTTGGGAGAGGGTGGTGGGGTTATGGACATTGGGGAGGGTATGCGCTATGGTGAGTGCTGTGAAGTGTGTAAACCTGGCGATTCACAGACCTGTACCCCTGGGGATAAAAATACATTATATGTTTATAAAAAATAATAATAATAAATTAAATTTTTTTAAAAAATAAAAACAAAAAATTTTTAAAAAGATATGTGATCTAGAAAGTAGGAGAAAATCCCACAAAAATCCAAGGGCCTGCTATTTTGGTGAAGTTTTTAGTCCAGTGGTCTGGGGCATTCTGGAATATCACATCAAAAGCAAGTGACAACTATGGAGTATTATGCCTCCGTCAGGAAGGATGAATACCCAACTTTGTAGCAACATGGACGGGACAGGAAGAGATGATACTGAGTGAAATAAGTCAAGCAGAGAGAGTAAAGTACCATATGGTTTCACTTATTTGTGGAACATAGCAAATAACATGGAGGACATGGGGAGATGGAGAGGAGAAGGGAGTTGAGGGAAACTGGAAGGGGAGATGAACCATGAGAGACTATGGACTCTGAAAAACAATCTGAAGGTTTTGAAGAGACGGGGGTGGGAGGTTGGGGGAGCCAGGTGGTGGGTATAGGAGAGGGCACGGATTGCATGGAGCACTGGGTGTGCTCTGAATTCTGTTATGCTGAAAAGAAATAAAAAATAAATAAATAAATAAATAAATAAATAAGTAAATAGGAAAAAAAAAGAAAAGCAAGTGACAAGTTTTTAAAAATTGGACCTCCTACCACTAAAAAACCTGGAGATTCCTTCAGGTTTTGGAATAACATAAATCATGCTCAGGAATATGACTTTGGCTCATTTATTGGGTAACATGAAAGTCACCAATGGGTCCAGAGAAAGAAAAAGGATCTGAAGAAGGTTTAGACTGTTGTATAAGCAGCCCTGTTTGGACCACATTACCTGCAGAGTCTGTGACAGTAGGGCATCTGTGATAGAGAAAAATGTGTGTAGTAGAAGCACTGCAGAGCAGACCCTTATATTTCCAGAGCAAGACCATGCCATTCATAGCAGAATACTGTAGACCAGTTAAAAAGAGCTCCTGGCATACTACTGGGCCCTGGGAGAAACTGATTATCTGACCATGGCACATTAAGTGACCCTATAACCAAAATTTTCCATCATCTGCTGGATTTTCAGGCTCACAAGTCATAAGTCAGGTGGGCTCAGCACCAATTCATTTTAACCTGGCAAGTGTTGAGAAAGAGAAAGATTGGAAGAGCCAGAATAAAGTGCTCTGGAGCAGAGATACATAGATAGATATGAGTGGGTACAGAGCATACGGATCTTAGTGTTGTAAACTACACCCACTAGAAAGCATTCTCTGTGGAAGAAACACCAAAGAACCAAGTAGATAGTATGATTCAGCCAGTAGATGTCAGCCAGCCTCTGGCTTGCCCACTCCAGTGCTTTTGCAATGGGTTTGTGAATAGAATAACAATAGAATAATCTTGGTGGCAGAAATGGAGGCTACACATGACCCACAGCAGGGACTCCTTCTTTCCAAGGCTAATCTAGCTACAACCACTGATGAATGTCTCACTGCCAGCTATAGAAACTAACAATAACCAGTCACTTTGAAGTCAAGTTGGTTAATTGAACTTCTTCTACCTGAGAACAGCAATTCATCTTGACTAGAAACAAAATACATAATGGTTATTGGTTTTCTTTTCCTGTCCAGAGGGCCTCAGACAGTACTGCAACCCAAGGGCTCCTAGAGCATCTGACTAGTGGCATAGGATTCCACATAACATTACCTCAGACCAAAGGATCAACTGCATAGCAAAGACAGTGCAGTGGTGGGCACATCACCCTGCCATCCATGCTCTTGTCACTTTCCACACCACCTAGAAGCTGCTGGGTGATAGAGCTGAAATAGAGATAGAGATATTGAAACAGAAATAGAAATAATAGAAATAGAAGAGATATCTCTGAAATAGAAATATAGATAGAGATGAAATGGTTTCTTGAAGGCATAGCTGAAGAAGCAGTCTATATGTGACATTCTCAAAGAGAGTGTCATCCCTTAAAATGTGGTTTACACTTTAAATCAATGGCCATTCTATGCTGGTATGTCCCTCAGAGGTGGGATATATGGGTCAGGAAAATGGAAGTAAAAGTGGTACTATTCAACATCACTTGGGTGTTTGTACTTCTGTCAATGCAACTTTAGGCTCTGTGGGTTTAGAGGTTCTGTTTCCTAGAGAGCAAATGCTTCCACCAGGGGGCTATAATTGGAGTCTCATTAAACTGAAATCTATTGCTACCTAACCTGATTAGCTTAGTATCCTCTTGCCAGGAAACCATCTATCACAGTAATTACTATGATGGTAAGGGTAATTGACCCCACCCATTATGAAACAGAAGGACTCCTACTACATAATTCTGGCAGAGATGAATATCATTGGCATCCAGATAATACACTGGGGCATCTCTTGTTACTCTCATATCCAGTTTTAACTGTAAATGTGCAAGGACAGCACCCATGGCCTGCTAAAGGCACAGAAACTACATCTCAGACCCTTAAGAAATGAGGTTCCAGGATAATTCCCTCCCAGCCCCTGCCCGGTAAGCCACTAAAACCATCAGAAATGATGACCAAGCACAGAGACAGGAGAATTTTGAAAGCAGAGTGGAAAAGGTAGATTATTAGTACCAGTCATGGCTTCAGCAAACCCAAAGTTTTGTCCCACTCCTTTTGTGAGTATCCCCAGAAATGATGACCAACAGAATACTAGAGAAGCTGTGACCCAAGGGAGGAACTTTAAAAAGTACATATTCTGGTGATTTTTATCTCCAAGGATTAAGATAAAAATCCCTAAACATTTATAAAAATAAAAATACAACTAACTTTAAAAGGAATAATAATTTGACCACTAGCAAATTTCTCATTAGCAATATGAGGTGCTGTAAATTAAGATACTATGCCCTCAATGTTTTAGGAGAAATGATTCTAAGCCTAGAATTCTATATCTAATATCAAGTATAATGTTAAAAATTAAACATATTAAAACTCATAAAATCCATCACTAATGTACTGTCTCTGAAAAAAATATAACTTGGGGATGAGCTATAATAAAGTTAATCAAGAAATATGAACACTTGGTATAACATAAACAGTGGTGTTCTGGCTAGTTAGTATTGTTTCATAACAAAACACCCCAAATTTAAAGGGGTAAAGCAATAATTTTATTATCTTCAAGGATATAGGTCAGGAATTTGGAAGTGAAGAGCGAAGATGCTTGTCTCTGTTATTCAATGTCTGGAGCCTCAGCAAAAGACTTAAAGGCTGGAAGTGACTCAACAGGTAAGAGCTGGAATCATCTGGAGATATATTCCCTCCGACATAGCTGATGCTGGTAGACTGGAACCTCAGTAAGACAATCAGCCAAAACATCTACTTAGGGACTCTCCATGTGGTCTCTCCACATGAGCTACTACGCTTCCAAGAATGAACCTACCACAGGAAACGACAAGTGTTGGAGAGGATGTGGAGAAAGGGGAACACTCTTACACTGTTGGTGGGAATGCAAGTTTGTGCAGCCACTTTGGAAAACAGTGTGGAGATTTCCCAAAAAAATGAAAATAGAGCTACCCTATGACGCTGTAATTGCACTAGTGGGTATTTACCCCAAAGATACAGATGTAGTGAAAAGAAGGGCTATCTGTACCCCAAGGTTCATAGCAGCAATGGCAACAATTCCCAAACTGTAGAAAGAGCCAAGATGCCCTTCAACAGAAGAATGAATAAAGATATGGTCCATATGTACAATGGAACATTATGCAGCCATCACAAAGGATGAATACCCAACTTTTGTATCAACATGGACGCGTCTGGGAAGAGACTATGCTGAGTGAAATAAGTCAAGCAGAGATAGCCAATTATTATATGGTTTCACTTACTTGTGGAAAATAAGGAATAACACGGAGGACATTAGGAGAAGGAAAGGAAAAGTGAATTGGGGGAAGCCAGAGGGGGAGATGAAGCATGAGAGACTGTGCACTCCAAGAAACAAACCGAGGGCTTTGAAGGGGAGAAGGTGGGGAAATGGGTGAGACTGATGATATTATGAAGGAGGTGTTAAGGAGGGCACATATTGCATGGACCACTGGGTGTGGTGCATAAACAATGAGTCTCAGAACACTGAAAAAATAAAATAAAATTTAAAATAAAATAAAACAAAATAAAATGAATAAAATAAAATAAAAAGAATGAGCCTACCAAGACAATGCTGTAGAAGGGCATGGCATTTTTATGCTCTGGGCTCAAAGGTCACATAGTATCACTTCCACTGTACTCTACCAACCAAGGCATTCACAAGGGTACTCCCAGATTCAGGGAGCTATGGATGTCACTGTAAGAATAGCTTGGTAGACAAGAGGCTCTGTTGTGACCAACATTGGAAAATACAATCTGTCTCAGCAGTGAGCAAGGAAATTAAAACCATCATAGTCGAGTCTAAGTAACTATCCCTGAAGTAACTGTGAAGCATAATGCAATTGTAAAGAATGGAAATTTCTGAAGCATGAGCATAATGTAAAAGGAAAAAATAAAACATAAAACTAAGAATCCAGATAATATCACAATAATGTTGGTGTCAGGGATGGACCTGGAAGCAAAAGCGTAAAAGTGTACTAAAGGTTTTGTTCATTTGAACAGTTAAAGATAGAGTTTAATTCTACATATTAAAATAAGACTATATTCAGGGCATCTGGGTGGCTCTGTGGGTTAAGCCTCTACCTTTGGCTCAGGTCATGATCTCAGGGTCCTGAGATCAAGTCCCGTATCAGGCTCTCTGCACAGCAGGGAGCCTGCTTCCCCCTCTCTCTCTGCCTGCCTCTCTGCCTACTTGTGATC